ACCTCTCACCCCTTCCCCCCCCACCTCCTCCCCCCTTCCCCCCCACCTCTCCTCCCCCTTCCCCCCACCTCTTCCCCCTTCCCCCACTCTTCCCCCCTTCCCCCCCACTTCTTCCCCCTCTCCCCTCCCCCCACCCCCCCCCTTTCCCCCCCTTCCCCACCCTTCCTCCCCCCTTCCCCACCCCCCCCCACCCTCCCCCACTCCTCCCCCCCCACCCCTCCCCCCACCTCTCCTCCCCCTTCCCCCACCTCTGCCCCCTTCCCCCCCACCTCTTGCCCCCCCTTTTCCACCCCACCTCTCCCCCCCTTCCTCCCCACCTCTCCCCCTCCCTTCCCCCCCACCTCTCCCCCTTTCCCACCCCTTCCCACCCCTTCCCCCCCCTTCGACCCCTTCCCCCAACCTCTCCCCACTTCCCCCATCCTCCCCCCATCCCCCACCTCCCCCCCATAGCACTGGAGGCGAGAGTTCGTGAATCGCACAGATGTCGTGAAACTCCCTTCCCGTGGGCGTCGAGAATGAGCCATCACCTGACTCTGCCACGAGAAGGCGTCTGCAGCAAGTGAACTCAACGCCCATCTGTTAATAAACACAAACCCATCATTTGCTGAAAACATCTTAAAATAAAAGACAAATACAGCAGCAGCAGACCCCCTGCTGAAATCAGTCCTCGGACTCCGTGTGGCTCTCCTGGATATATAAGAAATAACATCCTGGATATAAAAGTAAGTTTATTATTCATATTATTATTATTATTACGGAGTCAGAGCAAGCAATGCGTTGCTTGGTAAACGCAGGGAGCCGAGAGGGAAGGAGGCGGGCGCTTACGAGGAAAGGATGGGAGTCAAGTTTATTAGCGGGTCAGAGCTGAGATCATCAGGGACGTCGCGTCTGGCACGGTCCGATCGCCGAGCACGGGAACCCGATTGCCTCCGATGCAAATCACAACAATGTACAACCCGAGTGAAGGCACACGACACAGATCGTGCAGACACTGCAAACGAGACGGACGAGCAGACGAGGCAGGCAAGGGCTGACCGGTTGTCTCCAAGGAGATCGCGCGGTGCGATCCGGGGAGCTGCCTGTGATGAGACCGCAAGTGCAGTGAGTTGATGGTCTCAGCCGAGTTAACAAAGACTCACACAGAGACCCATAGACTCACACAGAGGCCCATAGACTCACACAGAGACCCATATACTCACACAGAGGCCCATAGACTCACACAGAGGCCCATAGACTCAAACAGAGACCCATAGACTCACACAGAGGCCCATAGACTCACACAGAGACCCATAGACTCACACAGAGACCCATAGACTCACACAGAGACCCATAGACGTATACAAAGACCCATAGACTTACATAGAGACCATAGACTCACACAGAGACCCATAGACTCACACAGAGACCCATAGACTTATACAGAGACCCATAGACTTACATAGAGACCCATAGACTCACACAGAGACCCATAGACTTATACAGAGACCCATAGACTCACACAGAGACCCATAGACTCACACAGAGACCCATAGACTCACACAGAGACCCATAGACTCACACAGAGACCCATAGACTCACACAGAGACCCATAGACTTATACAGAGACCCATAGACTTACATAGAGACCCATAGACTCACACAGAGACCCATAGACTTATACAGAGACCCATAGACTTACATAGAGACCCATAGACTCACACAGAGACCCATAGACTTATACAGAGACCCATAGACTTACATAGAGACCCATAGACTCACACAGAGACCCATAGACTCACACAGAGACCCATAGACTTATACAAAGACCCATAGACTTATACAGAGACCCATAGACTTACATAAAGACCCATAGACTCACACAGAGACCCATAGACTTATACAAAGACCCATAGACTTATACAGAGACCCATAAACTTATACAGAGACCAATAGACTCACACAGAGACCCATAGACTCACACAGAGACCCATAGACTTATACAGAGACCCATAGACTTACATAGAGACCCATAGACTCACACAGAGACCCATAGACTTATATAGAGACCCATAGACTTACATAGAGACCCATAGACTCACACAGAGACCCATAGACTCACACAGAGACCCATAGACTTATATAGAGACCAATAGACTTATACAGAAACCCATAGACCCACGTGGAGACCCATACGCTTATGTGGAGTCCCACAAATGCACAATGCGACACAGAGTTGCATAGACACCCATGAACTGACAAAGTGTTCACAAAAGCAATGAACCTGCATCTCACTCTTCCAACACAAACACCTCGTCTTCCTCCTCCTCTTCCACCTCTTCATTCCCAGAGGTTGCCACCCCAGGCCCCATTTTCCCTGTGTCTCCTGCTTCCTCTCCCACTTTTTCTTCCTCATCCCCACCTCCTTCACCTCCTGCACCGCCGTCGCACTCAACCCCAGTTGCAGTTTCTTCGCTCGTCTGCTCCGCACCCTCGCGGAGACCAGGGCTACTCCGCTCCCCCTCCTCGTTCTCCTCGTCATCCGCTTGCTCCTCCTGCTCCTCCTTCTTCTCTGCATCGTCCCCCTGACCCCGGCTCTCGCCCCCATTGCTTCTCATCGCCACTTCCACTGCCACCGACGTCGCCGCCGCCTTCAGCGAGGAGCGGCTGGGGAGACGCCGCTTACCGGAGTGGCGTGGGCGACCCTGGGAGGAAGAGAGCAGAGCGAGACATCTTTTGTTAAATCTTTCATTAAAAAGGGGGGGGTTACATGAAGCAAAGCATTACAAAAAACCGAAATGATGAACGAAGCAAAGTGCCGACTACACCGAGCATCTTCTTATTTCCTCTGATCGTAAAAAAAGAGAGGGAGGGGGGGAGGTGAGGGATATTAACCCTGCACCTGGGTGCGGGTGAACGCTGGCTCCCAGTGGCGATGTGGGGAGCAGTGCCCAGTGGGATTCGCAAGCTGCTCCCGATGACGTTTGGGGTTGTAGAGTAAATTTCCCCCCCAGCGCCAGGTTTGGCTCGGAGCAATTTCCTGAGCAGCGCCAGTGTCTCAACAACGAGCATCGGGCACTGGCGCTCGATCCGGCGTACACCTCTGGGCCAGCGGTGGGAATCCCACGTTCATATGGCGGGGGTCGAGTCTTTCCAGAGGACAACAACTACGTTGTGAATACCGTGCAGGGAGTCATGTGCATTGCAGGTGTGAAGCCGCGAGCAGCTTCGATGGCGTGTGAACACGACCGGGCGGCACTGCCACTCTTACATTGGACGTGTGTCGCGGTCGTCATCTCCTGCTTTGCCGGGGCATGGCAGTACAGCAAGTGTGTTGATTTTAATTGAGTGTAACCACCCGCCCTTGCACGGCTGGGTTCACCACCACCACCACCACCACCCACCCAGCTACCACCCAAAGCACTTACTCAGCACCCACCCACCACCACCAAACCACCACCCCCCACCACCCACCCAGGGAGAGAGGAAGCTAGAGAGGACGCAAGGGGGAGGCGCAGGCCGTCACTGACCTTGTTGAGACTGGGCAGTGTCTCTCGACCTGCCGTCTCGGGCCCGAGACTCTCTGTGCCTGTTGGGACCTCGGGGCCCGCTGGGGCCTCGGGACCCGGCCGAGGAGAGAGGGGCCGTGTCCCCAGGTGGAAACGGCGCACGGGGGAGCAGGGGGAGAGGGACGCGGAGGGGGAGAGGGGGGCGAGTGGGGAGAGTTGAGTGGTGGAGCCCGCGGGGGCCGACCACCGCTTCACCGCGGGGTTGCAGGAGGGTGGGGAGAGCGCCGAGGGGGGGAGCACCAGGCTTGCCTGGGGGGAGGGGGGGGCAGAGTGTTAGGGTTAGGGCCACATGACTGATGCCACATCCCCATGACCACTTACAGCTGAGCCGGCCGTGTAGGTGTCCGAGTGGCTCAGAGGTCAGCCTGTGGAGCCCGCACCGCTGGGATCCGAGATTCCAGCCCCAACTACCGTCATTACACCGGGGTCTCATAGACTCACGCAGAGTTCGATTGACTCAAACAGAGACCCATAGACTCACACAGAGACCCATAGACTCACACAGAGACCCATACACTCACACAGAGACCCAAAGACTCACACAGAGACCCAAATACTCACACAGAAACCCATACATTCACACAGAAACCCATAGACTCGCACAGAGACCCATAGACTCACACAGACACCCATAGACTCGCACAGAGACACATAGACTCAAACAGAGAACCACAAACTCACACAGAGACCTATAGACTCACATAGAGACCCATACACTCACACAGAGATCCATAGACTCACACAAAAACCCATACACTCACACAGACACCCATAGACTCACACAGAGACCCAAAGACTCACACAGAGACCCATACACTCACACAGACACCCATAGACTCACACAGAGACCCAAAGACTCGCATAGAGTCCCATAGACACAAACAGAGACCCTAGACTCGCACCCATAGACTCGCACAGAGACCCATAGACTCGCACAGAGACCCATAGACTCACACAGAGAGCCATAGACTCACAATGAGATCCATAGACTAACACAGACTGAACTTTCTTAAACCGGGTTCTTCAGTGTAGTGAAATGATGTTCTCAGCCCAGTCACCAATGACTGCATGAACGAAACTTTGAAGTTAGTTCTGCACTTAATTTGTTAAAAATTCTCGGTCTGAGATTGAAAATATCAGTCACACCATCACGTAACGAACCCTCCTCTCATGGGCAGAGCAGTAGCCAGAGCGCTGCGCTCGACTGGGTGTGGGCTCGAGATCTCAGCAGAAGCTCTGCGATATCCGCTTCCGTGGGCCGCTCTCGAACACGGAGGGTTTTCCCTTCTCCGCGAGACTCCCGACTGGATTCATCGTCCCGTGGGATGAAATTGGGGAAATAACGACAAAGTATGAACCGGCCAAGCGGTCCAAGCGAGCTGGGCGGGGTGGGGGTCACGGCGTGCTGGGCTCCTGGGCCGCGTGGCCCTCTCTGCAGCGGCACTCCACGCAGTCGAGGTCGCGGGGTTAACGCGGAACAGACGAGCTCCCTCGAAGCTCGGTCGAGCTGAGGTGTCGGCGTCGGAGCGTGGCTTTGTTTATCCCAAAATGGGAGCAGAAAACGACGGATTACGGGATTGGGAACGTCGACCGAAGCCAGAGCCACTCACCTGGAGCTTCCCGATGAAGCTGGAGGGAGGTTTGGGTCGAGTGCGCAGGGGAGAGGTCACCTTGAGGTCAGGGGTGTCCTGCGGGATCAGACAGGGGGCACATGACGGGAATGGGAGAGGAGGGCGATGAGAAGAACTGACGGAGGGAGGACAGAGCAGCGCCCCTTGAGACGCTCGATGTGAACACTCCGCCACGTTCCATTCAGTCTGGTCGAGTCGCAGCTCAGAGACGGGGACACATTCGCGATGTGAGGGTCACGTGGGGACACTGCGCCCAGGGCCCATGACGTCCTCTCCACGAGCGTGTCGAGAGAGAGGCCCCCGCCTTGTTCACCCATTCACGAGTCCCAACGTCCACCACGTCACCCAGCGCTCCAGACCGCACGCTCTGGGCGGCCGCTCTCAATCACAAACGCCGCAGGAGGAGGAGGAGGGGGGGGTGGAAGACAGGACGACTCTGTTGAAGTGACCTCAGGAGTCCTTCTGTCGATCTTCTGGGGCTTGGACCGCGACGCCGGCGAGCGGCGTTCCACGGTGACAACACCCACGGTGTTGACCAGGGCGGGGTGAGGTGGTGGTGGCGGTGTGAGGAGTGGCGGTCGAGGGGAGAGTTGAGTGATGAGGGGAGAAGAATGAGATGGAGGCCCGTGTCGCTCTGTCCCCCGTCCCAGTGAAGCCCTCTCTGTGTGGTGGTGGCGGCGTCGTGTGCCACTCGTGGTCACTCGCGTGTTCCGTGGGCTGAGTCGGGATGGCATTGTGTGTTGGGCCCGCCCATCCCCCCTCCTCCTCCCATCCCTCCTCCTCCTCCCATCCCCCCTCCTCCTCCCATCCCCTCTCCTCCTCCCATCCCTCCTCCTCCTCCCACCATGACTCATGAATCCCAATCTCTTCGCTGATCTCGTTACGCGCTCCAACTTCCTCTGAGCAAAACGCAACGCGTCTGAGTTTGGGTCTCGGTTCTTATCTGCGGCTCGCACACACAGCGCCTGTGCCAAGCTAGGTGCACTGAGAGGCCGTCACGTGAGGTGAGAAGGGCTTGCTGCTGCCACGAGTTCACGGGACAGATCAGTCCGCGGGGAGAGCCACCTGGGCTCCTCGCGGAGTCACTTCGCAGCCTGTCCGACGATTCGAATCGACACGCACACAAAGACAAATACCCCCCGTATAGCCTTAACAGACCGTAGGGGCAAGTGCTGTTAGCGAGCACCTATGAAAGCCGGTACGGCACACGAGGGGGTGGGTGGCCAGAAGCACGCACTGCCGCCTTTGTCTCTCTAAATGACGATGTTTACACACCACACCAGGTACTCATTTGAGGATGAGTCGACCTCGGGGAGGCCCAGGACTCGGGAGAACCGCTACACCACCGCTCCCCACAACATCGAGGGACACACAGACAGACACACAGACAGACACACAGACACACACAGACACACACACAGACACACAAACAGATACACAGACCCACAGACGGACAGACACACACAGACACACACACACACGGACACACACAGACATACACACAGACACACAGACAGACACACACACAGACAGACACACAGACAGACAGACAGACACACACACACAGATACACAGACAGACACACAGACAGACACACAGAGAGACACACAGACACACAGACACACAGACAGACACACAGACACACATACAGACAGACACACAGACAGACACACAGACAGACACACACACAGACACACACACACAGACACACAAACATACACACAGCCACACAGACAGACAGACACACACAGACACACACACAGACAGACACACAGACAGACACACACACGCAGACAGACAGACATACAGACACACTCAGACACACACAGACACACAGACAGACAGACACACACACAGACCACACACAGACACACACACACACAGACACACACACAGACACACACACACACACAGACACACACAGACACACAGACACACACACATTAGCGCACCTGTGCGTGGGCAGGGGGCTGCTCGCCTCGGGAGCCGCTCATGTCGACGCTGCGAGTTGGAATCCAGTTCCCAGCAAGAGCCAATTTCATCTGCCGGGCGAGACCACGAGAGGGAGAGGGACCCCCCCTTAGCGGCCAATAGAACTGCAGACAGTTGAGTCAATCACTCGCTCAATCGCTCTCTCCAGCACCACCACTCATCACAATCAGCTCACCACCACTCATCACAATCAACTCACCACCACTCATCACAATCAGCTCACCACCACTCATCACAATCAGCTCACCACCATACTCAAAAGCTCGCTCACCAATTCACTCACTCACCCATTCCCCCCACCACCACACACCCCAAAAGCGGTGGGGTGAGTCTACCCACCCTTTTGCTCACGCTCACTTTAGCCACCGCTCACCGCACAACTCCTTCTACCATTCACCGATGCCACCACTCATTTCGAAACTCACTCACCCACCACTCACTTTCCCCATCATTCACTCGTTCGCCCTCTTCACTCAATCACTCAATACACCACTCACTCTGCCGCTTATTCACTCACCCCACCGCTTATTCACTCACCCAAACACTCACCAAACACTCACCCCACCACTCACCCAAACACTCACCCCACCACTCACCCCACCACTCACCCCACCAAACACTCACCCCACCGCTCACCCAAACACTCACCCCACCACTCACCCAAACTCACCCCACCACTCACCCAAACACTCACCCCACCACTCACCCCACCAAACACTCACCCCACCGCTCACCCTCTCTCCTCTTGGCGCCCTCTCTCCCCCGTTGCGCGCGGACCGATGAACAGCGCTCACCCCCAGTGAATCAACAACAGCAGCAAGCAGCAGCAGTGGGAACTCGGGGAGGGAGGAGGGAGAGCGTGGTGGGGGTGGGGGGGAGTTTGCAGGAAATGTGGAGCGAGGGGACCCGAAGCTCCCGTCTCGGGGCCGCTCTTCCCTCCCGCGGCGGCCACCGCGGCCGCTGCTGCTGCTGCCGCTGGTGTCATTTGTGTTGTTGCTGTGGTAGTGGCGGTGGTGGTTGTTGCTGGGGTGGGGTGGTGGTGGTGGTGGTGATGCAGTTGTTGTTCTTGTTGTGGTGGTGGTTGTTTTGGCACGTTGTCATATTGTGGTGGCAGTTATTGGTAGTTTTGTTGTTGTTGTGATGGTTGTTGTGATGGTTGTTGACTTGGTTGTTGTGATGGTTGTTGCCGTTGCTTTTTCAGTTTCCTGTGATGGTGGTGATTGCTGATGAGGTAGTTTTGGTTGTAGGATTGTAGTTAGAGCTGTGATGGTAGTTGTTGGATTGCTTTGGTTTTTTTATGATGGTGGTGTTAGTTGATATATGGCTGGTTGTTGTGGTTGTAGATGTTAGACCTGGTTCCGGCATCAATGTAAGCTAAAATCCTGGGTTCCTGGAGTAATAGATTCCTGGATCTTGGATTTCTGAATCCCTAAGCCACGAGTTATGGATACGTGATACCTCGATCCCGGAGTCTGGGTCCACAGATGCTGGAGCCAGGAACCAGAGATCCAGGTTCATGTTTTCCGAGTTCCTGGAGCGAGAAAGCCTAAAACCCGGATCCTGGAGTCATACATTCTGGATTCCGGATCGTTGAGTGAGCTGGGGGAAGTGAAGAGGTCGCGGTGCAGAAGCGGAGACCGCGGGGCGCGGGCTCCCACGCGTGTGCGCAGCGATAAGAGAAGAAAACAACACGCGGCTAGGATTGCACACACACACAAACAGATATACACATAGAGACATACATAGAGATATACACAGAGAGATACACACACAGAGATATACACAGAGAAACATACACAGAGAGATACACAGAGATATACACATAGAGACATACACACACAAACAGATATACACATAGAGACATACATAGAGATATACACAGAGAGATACACACAAACAGATATACACAGAGAGACATACACACATAGAGATATACACAGAGAGATACACACATAGAGACCAATACCCGCCATTCGCCGCTGTGCCAGGCCAGGTGCACTTTGAGGCCACGTGAAGTGTCGAACGCCCGCTGGCAGGAGGTCACGGGGCAGACCCAGGTGCCACGGGTCGACTGACTGAGATGACCGAGATGAGTAGCTGATGCACCACCTGTACCCTCTACTGTGCCAACTTGCTGGATTTTAGCCGCCCGGCGCTCCGCTCGTTGTTGTGAGCGTCGCTCCTCCGCCCTCCGTTGTTGTTGGAGGGCGACTGCCTCCCGCTGCCCATGAGCAGCGTCCTTCACTGGGGGCACAGCCCGACTGCTGCCCGGCGGGTCCACAGGTGGCGAACCGAGAATTGCCCTTCAGTGAGCGTGGAGCTGCGAGACGAGCAGCGTCAGTCTGATCATTAACAAAGCAGTCACGGAGCAGCAGCAGCAGCGCCAGGATGTGGTAGCGATGTCAGCGCTGTTCCTCTTGAAAAGCCACAAACGCCCTCGTGCATTGCTGTGCCATGCAGAACGTGGGCCGCCATCGCAACGAGCGTGCCCAGCCCACAGCAAAGCGGGCGGAAGAAGACGTCAGAATGGCAACAGCAGCTGCGAAGATGAACGAGGGCTGCAGCGCCATGATATCTCCAAACAACTGTATGTATGTTGAACCTCGTTCGTACCGTACGTAGCCAACCCTGCAATTAGACGTGCCGGGTCTGCGCGGTAGGCTGGCGTGCAACGACTTCTCCACACTATGGGAACCTCATTTGCCAGTAAAAATATGATAATTGGTTTTTTACCCTTCTATCTGGCAACAAAACTGACACCTTTTTACAAGGAGTCATGTTTGCATAGACCGCAATACCTGCAGTCATAATACAAACAAAAGACATAACTCTGATAATGTGCACTGTCCTTGAAGTTGATTGGTCCACACCCGAGACAGCTTTCTTTAGAGCCAAGTCTCACATGGGTTGGACCAGATGACGCCAAAAGGCGCACAACTCAAAGACAATGCACCATCAGAGTATGAGAGCTTGGGGCAAGCATCTACACTATGGGAACCTCATTTGCCAGTAAAAATATGATAATTGGTTATTTACCCTTCTATCTGGCAACAAAACTGACACCTTTTGAGTCACGTAGATAGAAAATTGATAAAAAAAAATATCTATTTTTTATTTTTATTAGAATATGAATTCTTAAAAAATATATGTTTTTACCAGGCTTGCTGGGCCTTTCTCTCCCCCTGACGCCGCGGGGTGGATTTCCACCCAGCTCTCTCATTGCCATGCTAATTTCTCTGCTCCAGCAGACCCACCTCTCTCTCTATTTCAGGCCACGACACAGAGGCATTGGGTCTCTGTGTGCCTATGTTGTGTGTCTCTCTCTGTGTGTCTCTGTGTTGTCTCTCTCTACTTGTGTGTCTGTCTGTGTTTTGTTCTCCATCTAAACCTTAGTTCTACCTGATGACGACTGCTTGTGTTGCAAGTGAAACGTCGTATTTTATTTCATTGATTTTCTTTCTACGTGACTTTACCGAAAGAACCTCAGAGTAATTCCTGCAGTGACGAAAGCTTCAAATCACGTATGAATTCCTGCAGTCACGAAAGCTTTAAGTCAATCATCAATAAATGTTGGTCATGAGCAGGAATCGAACTCGAGTCGCCGTGTTTTATAGTACAGCGCGCTAACCACTGTGCCACCGCTCCCCACAGTTACACACCTATTAACAGCCACGCACGCAGCTCTGCCAGTACTGTCGAAACTAGACCACGACACGAGGATGGATCTGAGCTTGGTTAAACCCCCGATGAATAATAGGCAGGCCAGCCTGAATGTTTAAAGCCAGCGCAGGTGTTTCTGTGAAGGTGTCCAGGTTGCGTTAGCACAAGGAAAAGAGACGGGGGGGGGGGGGTATGACTGTGGCCGACAAGACCCCAGAGCCTCATGTGGAGCGACGGACCAGGTAGCTCTCACACAGCATTACACAGCCGATGAAGAGATAATAGCGCTCGACGGATTCGGAGCGAGACCTCCGCTGCCAATCCGCAGCTCGGCATAAGCACACACAACTGCCTAATCACTCCTGGGAAGTGGAGGGAGGGGAGTTTTGATGACATAACCTACCCAGGCAGTGAGAATCAATAACCAGATCAGAGCATACAGAACATGGTTGACCAATAAGAAGCGACCCATTTACCGCACCCGGGCATCGATCATTGTATCTGTACCAGATGATTGATGACAAAATACCCAGGCACACACACACGCTCACACTGACAATATTACTACTTTACTGAGGTGCATGACACAGCATAATCGGGAGAATACGGTCATATAATGGACACGCGGAGCAGTAACGCGCTCATGCGCTCGTTGTTGCAGAGCTTCGCGGTTCGACTCTGGCAGGGCGCCCGAGTTAATACTGCGGGAAGTCTGCCTCACTCACAGTGGACGTTCAAGCTCCTGTGATGTCATTCGAAGAAGAGGAGGCCGGGTGTCACGGTCCAAATTTGGCGACTGTTGGAATTTTTACTCGGCAAGTTAATCAATTTGGAAGAGCCACGCTGCAACGTCGCCCGCTAGCGGCTGACTGATGCGCTCGTGCAGGCCGACGCTCAGTCAGCTGGTGCCACACAGAGGCAGCCACCACCGGGGGGGGGTCCCCTTTGAAGGACTGCAATGAGGTGGGAGGTAAGGCGCTTCGAGTGTCTGAATCACTCAAGTAAGCGCCAGATAAGCGCAAATATGAACATGAACATGCGTGTCAAAAGCTGCGCTGGATCGCTTTGTCGCTGGGAGCATGGAAAGGAGGCTGGCAGTTAGCGAGAGTCGATAGAATGAGTTCCACTTTGAGGGAATGTCAACAGTGGTTACCCGAAGAGTACACGGATACTTACCCCCTGTCATATAGGAATGTGGAATTTATATCACTGGCTGTGCAGGACTGTAAACGGAAGATGCGCACGAATCCCTCAATGCAGGAGATCGCTTTGACGTTTGAATTGCGATGGAGATGAGGGCACCTGGTAGAACCAGGAGTTGGTGGAACCAGGAGCAGGTGGAACCAGGAGCTGGTGGAACCAGGAGCTGGTGGAACCAGGAGCTGGTGGAACCAGGAGCTGGTGGAACCAGGAGTTTGTGGAACCAGGAGCTGGTGGAACCAGGAGTTGGTAGAACCAGGAGCTGGTGGAACCAGGAGCTGTGGAACCAGGAGCTGGTGGAACCAGGAGCTGGTGGAACCAGGAGCTGGTGGAACCAGGAGCTGGTAGAACCAGGAGCTGGTGGAACCAGGAGCTGGTGGAACGAGGAGCTGGTGGAACCAGGAGCTGGTGGAACCAGGAGCTGGTGGAACCAGGAGCTGGTAGAACCAGGAGTTGGTGGAACCAGGAGCTGGTGGAACCAGGAGCTGAGGACTTCACTCGAAGCCGCAGGGAGTAAGGGAGCTGAGCCCTGGGGGACCCACGGTTGGCCCCACGTTGAGCGTCTCCGCCTCAAGCCGGTCTCCGGGGACCCGCGCGGAGATGGGGGCACGACGGTGGTGGTGGTGGTGGTGACGGCGGGCATGACGTAGGGGGGTGCGCTGGTGATGGCGATGATGATGGTGGTGGTGGTGGCGAGGTGCCAGAGGCGTCGATGTATCGGCTGCAATTGGGGTCTCCTCGCGAGCAGCTGGGCGGGAGAGGAGGCGGAAGAAGGGAGACGAGGTGGGAGGGGAGTCGTCCTCCCTGGGGCACGGGAGACAAAGGTGGACGTTATGGGTTACATCTAGAGATGGGGTGTAGAGGTGAAATCTTGAGTGTAGAGGTGGACGCTCACAGGATGTCGTTGGGGCAGTCGTCCTCCC